ACCTGGAGCTGGGCTGCCGTGAGTCGCCGGCAACGGAGTAGACTGCAGCCCCTGCTGCAGTGGGTCGCAATCGGATACCGTGTGTGGCCAGCAGCCAGCGTGAGCGGCCAGCAACCGCTGTGAGCAGCCGTCTAGAAGCCAAAGACTGATCTGCCTCGCCCGGGAAGAGCGCAATGATGGTGCCAACTTGGGCCAGTGAAGCAACGTCCTCTACAACTAGACTGAAGAACAAAAAGGACAGCAACTTGTCTGTTCCCCTCCCCCCAATTCCCCAGCGCTGTTCCCATCCCCCAATTCCCCAATTCCCCCCACGCCCCTGCCAAAAAAAAAGTGGGAAATGGAGGGTCCTGCCCAGGGGGAGGAGATGAATGAAGCACATCAATGGGACTTCATCATTCCCACCCGGGAGAGATAAAAGCCCGATCCAAACTTCTTCGCCCTCATTTTTTGTTCTCTCTCTTGAATTCTTTTCTTGTGCAGAGACAAGAACTCAGTCACCGCTGCTCAGGGTTGAGTCCTCTCTTGGACACCCCTGTTAGCCTCGGTTGACAACAGACTTAACTATAAGAACTAAAACTAAAAAGCTCCTAAAAGAAAACACAAAAATTATCTTTGTGAGCTTGGATTAGATAAAGGTTTCTTTTCACCAAAAGCATGAGCCACAGCAGAAAAAAAAGATCAACTGGATTTCATCAAAATTAAAAACTTTTGCTCTTCAAAGGACACTATTAAGAAGATTTTCAAAATGCCACAAACTGGCAGGAAATAACTGCACACAACATATATGTGATTAAGGACCTATATCCAGAATACATTAATAACTCTTACAACTCAAAATTAAGTCAAACAACCCAACTTTTCATTCATCCAGAGCTTAAATTCCCTGTTTCTCTTGATCTCCCCTTTTCAGTTAAAAGATCATTTGTTATCCGTGACAGAGAAGTCAGAAGCCAAACTGGTCAAATGCGCTTCTTCATCACCCACGAGTTTCCACAACCACCCCCAAACAAGAACCTATCCCTAAGCATCCATTTTTGCTCTTCTGGGTGTTGGCTTCGGAGATAAGCCGCCCTCTCCTAGGTGTCCTTTGCTCTGGTCTTTTCAAATCTGAGCCAAGTCAGATCTCCCGTTGCAACCGTTCTAGTGTGTTTAGAACGCTCATCTTCCTCTCTCGGTCTTGTTACTGCTCCAGCTAATAGGTCCTTTCCGAGCTGTTCACTGCCCGCCCACATTTTCTCTGACCTTTTGAAGTCGCCTAACACCAGAACTTTTGAAGTCGCCTAACACATGGCCCGACTGCGAATCCCCACAGTGCATTACCCACCAGCAGCGGAACCTGGGGCCTGTGGCTTAACCAACTCTGAGCTTCCCTTTCCTCCTCTATAACTGTGGTGACAACTCCAATTCGCAGGGTGATGTGCGAATGACACGAGTGGGCCACAACTCCTGCCATGTGTCAACCACTCGGGCAGTGTTGGCAGCGCCCCCAATGCCTTCCTCTCCTGGGCCTGCAGCCCGCTCGCAGGTCGTCCTCCCCGAAGTCTGACCGCTCAACTTCTCGAAAAGGGCCGAGTGCTACGGAAAGGGGTTAGAAGAGGGCCGAGGCCCGCACCTTCTGGTCCAGGTCCAAGCGGTAGGGCACAGGCTGGATCCGGCGGCGCGGCCGCGCTCCAGCGCGGGGCTGGGGCTCGGAGCCGGGAAGCACGAAGGTGGGCACGCCCAGCGCTCCCGAAAAGCTGAATCCCCACACGAAGATGCGGTCGACGCGGGCCGCGCGCTCGCCTACGTACTGGAACACGGGCGCGTCCGCCTCGGCCTCCGCCGCCTCGCGCCGGCTCCGGGAGCGCCCGGCCGCCGTCCAGTGCCCTCGCCCTGGCCCCCGCCCGCTCAGACGGCGCCCCAGCCGAGCCCCCGCCGCCAGCGCCGCCAGTGCCATCCTCAGCTTCACGCCTCAGCGGCTCCTGGGCGCCGCCATCTTGTGTAACCCTTAACCCCACGCCCCGGCGGAAGAGCCCGCCTACCGGTTCACTCCTGGCTGAAGGCCAAGGTGCCGAGGGCAGCCAAAGGCTCGCGGGGGCAGGAGGACGGGGCGGAGCCAGGTGCCCTGATCCCGAGTGAGCGGGCTGTGGGGACCCTGCCCTCCTAGTGCGCGACCTTTGTCGGAGCTCCAGCCGCCGACCTCAACTCACTCCCCTCCCCGCGCAACGCACGTTTGCTGAGCAGCTTCCCTGAACCGGCGGGCGCTGGCGCTTTTATTTTTTTGCCAAGCTCTTCGCTTCTTAGCAATCAGCAGGGGTAAAACCTAAGGGGTTTCCCACTCTGAGCACCTCCGGTGTAGTGCTCTCCCCTGTCCTGTTTTACTCCCTTTGCCACTGTCTCTCGTCATTTCTTGACCTGGTTGCACCGTTCCTGCTGCCATGAGCTACCTGGCCACTCAGTCCGTGCTCCAGCCACAGTGAGATAAGAGTGTAGCTCTTACTGTTGTCATTCGCTGCCCCAGAGCCTGCAGCTATTCCCTGCCGTCTTCAGTGCATTCCCCACAGCGTCACCTCACACCCTCAGCCTGTCATTCCACTTGAGTCTGGTCGTAATTTTTTAATCCCAGTGCTGTTTAAGGCCTCCCTACGTTGCACACAGTGCCTTAAATGCCCTTCCCACTGCCCTCCTGCAGATGTCTGGCAAACTCCTACTCATCTTCTAAGATACAACTCTAGCATTTTCTTTGAAATTCCAAATTCAAATTCTTTGAAGGCAGCAACTTCAGTTTATTCAGATTGTCCTCACCAACTGTGTACTGGAGGTTAGCACGCAGCAAGGAGCAAGGGACACCCTCATGAATGAATGACCCAGGCGTCTAGGGACCTGGGTTCTAGTCCTGGCTCTCTGCTACTGACCTGCTACATGGTGTTGGGAAGTTGTCTTCTTTCTGTGGATCTCACCTCCAAAATAAAGAGATTAAAAACAACAACAACAAAAGTACATGAAATGAATTTTTGAAACTAAATTGAGATGTCTTGACTTTATGGCCTGTAGGATCTCTTGCAGCCCCTCATGATCCATGACAGCATTCCCAAATACTAGTCCCAAATGCTGAGGGCAAACTATTTCTTTTTTCCCTCCCTTGCTTTCTTTACATTGTTTGATACCTAGAACTAATCCAGTTTT